TATATATATATATATATATAGAAAATACTATAAAATATGTAAAAAAAATGTAAAAAATTATCATTATATTACTAATTAAAATGTTTAAATGAAAAATATTTTTTATTTAATGAAAAATATTCTAACAATCTTTATATTTTTTTAAATTTTTAGATAAACTTTTAAAACATGTATAATGATTTACTCTTTTGGTCTCTTAATTGTAAATCGATTTAGTGATTTATAAAACCGAGTATATATTAATTATTGTTATGTTTCTTAATGTTGGTTTCTTACTATATGTTTTTAACTTTATTTATTTGTTCTTAAAAATGTGTTCAATTGATAAGCTTGCATCAACAAAAATAATATACATGAAATCTCATTTTTATTTTTATTTTTTGTTTATTTTTTGTAAAAGTTTGAGGGTGATACAAATTATAAGTTTTAAAAAAAATAATGGTACACATATCAATATTTATATTTATAGTAAACATATTTTTATATGAAATAAGTGTTTCAACTTAAACATCAAGCTCGTTATTTAACATTTAAAATTAGGCACCCCTGAGTGAAATTTCTAGATCCGTTAATGTTCGTTAATATTTATAAATTAAAATTTTCAATGTTATCTGAAATTTAAATTATACAAAATCACATAGAACATGTTTATTTCAAATTAGTACACAACCCGACAATGAAGTACAACTTGAGTGGTAAGACGTTTCACATATGATCTATAGGTCATGAGTTCGTGTAACTGAGTAGGAGAACTTAGAACACCATTGATCCTTCTTAAGATGAAAAAAATAGTACACAACCACTGCGGTGCATTTAATTGATAATAAAATACATTATATTAATGTCATAATAAGTGTCATTTTTATAATTTTATTTAAAAATTCAATTTAACTACAATGTGATTCCATATAATAATTATTTGGTAAATTTTTATCGTATATTTAAAAATTATATTTATATGAATAATAAGTATAATTCACATTAGCTAACAAATTGAATCTTTTCCATAAAACACAACTACAAATTCTTAATTACCCATGTGAGAGACAAATGAAATATGGCAAAATGCAATCGGGCAGCCTGAAATCACATAGTAGCTATAAAGATTGAATCTTTTACAATAAGTTATAACTAATCCCACAAATTAAGGGAAGCATTTAATGCTTTCCCATTTTATTGAATAAAAAAATTAAAAAACTTACCCAAATTGGTAAGCATTTAATGCTAACAAACTTTGACTAAGAATTGACTTTCTATTTTTTTTTTTAAAAAAAAAAATCTTTTTATATAAGTATAGATAGATTTTTGTCCAACAGCCACTTCTCATATAAGACTATCAATTAAAAGGGAATTAAATTCCCTAATGTCATAAAATTCGGTTCTAGCAACCGATTCGTCATCCTTGTTTATTTAGTTTGCTACATCACAAATGCCACATCACAAATAGGTGTAATAATTGCAAAATAGACACAAAATCTGAATATTGTGTCCGTTCACAAAATAAAATATGTGAGAAAACTTGAATAATACACTAAAATGAAATACTCAAATATACAAATTAAATTAGAAAATAGTACAAGATTTCTCACGTATCAAAATATTGGCGCTTGTTTCAATTATTTTGACTTTCAAAGGTGCGTAACTTATATTACAAGACATTTTTCAATAATTATATATTTATTGAGAAAATAAACACACATTAATAATAATAATAATAATAATAATAATAATAATAATAATAATAATAATAATATTAATAATAACTATATTTGTTACCATTAATTAATCAATCGTACTTAACAAAAAAAATTAGCAAACATGTGATAGGCCGTAAATTAACAACACGTTGAGATAAGATGTATATTAAATTTTTCAAAGTCGTAACAATATTAGAATTCTTCAAAACACGTGACAAATTTTGAACAAAATATGAAATGATTTTAATTTTTTTTTTTAAAATGAACAGAATTTTAGATTTTCAAACAAACATAATTTTGGATTTATTTAAATAATTTCCATAATTTTCCACAAATAATTTATTGACCATCATCCTTTAATATAAATAGATGTAACATCTTTATCTGAATTTTTCCTTTTAGGATATATTTTTAGGAATTTTAACTTTTCTTTTTTCTGAAATTTTAAAAAATGCATTCAACCAAAGGCATAAGTGATATTTATATTTTGTTTTCTTTTTGTTTTTAAATTATTTAGTAAAAAAGTAAGAGTGGTCAATCAATAAAAATGTTGACATGGTATATTCGGACCATGTTGCATTATTGGTATGGAAAATCCATTTAAAAAATGTTAATATAAAATATACAACTAATTTAATGACATATGTAAAATATAAAATATTGTTTAGCGTTATATGCTCACTATGACTGCTAAATAAAAAAACTATACAAAAATAATTTATTGCATAATATTATATACAATACAAATTTTCTATTGGTTTGGAGCCCGACCCTACATTACTACAAAAAAAAAAAAATGATGAAATTCCAATAAAAATATATTGTATTGGAATTTCAACGACCATTCTAAGGAATATTTCAATGCTATTACTACCGTTTGAATTTTTCAATGAAAATTCTAACAAAAATAATTCATTGAAATTATGAACAGATCTATGTTTATTAAAAAGGCCCGACACATACAATCATCCCACCATTCTCAACCTGCTTCTTGCTTGTGGCCACCTCCCTGAAGAATCGTACATAGGCCGGTATTTTCTGCAGAACATCAGGTGCAGATAAGTCGACATTGGCCTTAGCCAACATCGCATGAAGGTCCCAAATCTTGGTGCGGTCCTTCTCCTCTATTAGTCGGCTCGAGAAAGGAATTTTCGGTCTGTAGGGGTTCGGAGATCTGTGTAAAGTAGGCTCGGGTGGTGGTGTCACTGGGGCTCCTTCCAGTCTCCCTTGCTCTTTCAGGCCCTCTTTTACTTCTTTCACTTCCTCGGGTATAATCACCATTACCAATTTTGCGTGTTCCGACTGGCTAGGTAGCTCCTTTTGTCCATTTCTGTCTCGATGTTCCCAACCCGTGTGGCCAGCTGGCCTACTTGCGTCTCGAGATGCTTAATGGACGCATCTTGATTGGTGATGAATTTCAAAATCTTGTCGAGCTTGTCATCCATGCCCGGTGGGCTCGGTCTGGTCTCGGATGCTGGCAGCCTTAACATTCCCCTCGGTTGCTGCTGCTGCGGGACAAAGTTGGTTTGAGGTGGTTGCTGATAGTGATTGTTGGACCATGAGAAATGAGGGTGGTTTCGCCACCCCGGGTTGTACGTGTTCGAGTAGGGGTCGTTTCTGGGTCAGTTTTGAAAATTCTACAATGCATTTACCTCGGTATTCTGGCCTCTATGCATCAGTGTTTTTCCCTTTGTTCCGGATAGCCGATGGACACACCTCAGAACTGTGTCCCTGAATTCCACATGCTCCGCAAGCACTCACGGCCATAGCCTGAATAGGCGAGAAACTTCTAGCATTCAATACCCTCATCTGCTCTGTGAGCTCGGCCAGTTGCTGGGCCATGGCATTATTGCTCGATCCCACCTCATTCACCGCC